AAAAAAAAAAAAAAATCTGTCAAGCAAAATCTACATTTTTGTAGTTTAGACAGTGTATTTTCCACCCCATAGAAAAACTGGCATAGGCAGTTAGAGAATTGGACAATTGCCTGGCAATTGTGGGGTTAAGTTAGATGGTTATAATGGCTGGTTCTGTGCTAACTGTGACAACAGGATTCATCCATCTCTACCAAAGTGAGGGAGACTTGTTCAGGTCCTGTAGACTCTATTGGAGACACATTTCCCAATTTTGTCTCCCTGAAGCCCCCTTCTCGTAGATGAATGCAGGCTTGCCGGTCTGCTAATGTTAATGTTCTTGATGTTTTTGCAAAGCTCAGCTATCATTCATTACATTTTGATTCTCTTAATTAGATTTTTCACACTATATTTTTAACCTCAGTTTCCTGGGACCTCGCTGTCAACTCTGTTCTACTTCTAAGGAAGAAGCCTATTGCCTCGATAATAGGATAAGTAACCCCAAAGGTGGTTACTTATCGAAATACACCAAAGAAAATAATACAAAGAAATACATGTGGCCTTTGTGCATGAAGTGAGTCTTTATGGCGAAAGGTAGCAAATCCTACTAGCTATTAATTGGAATACTGAGGCCTGTACCATTTCGCCAGTCAGGAGAGACATTCAGTTGGGTGTGGTGGTGCATGCCTGTAATCCCAGCACTTTGGGAGGCTGAGGTGGGAGGATTGCTTGAGGCTAGGAGTTTGAGACCAGCCTAGGCAACATAGCGAGATCATGTCTCTACAAAAAAACGTAAAAAAAAAAAAAAAAGAGGGGCATTTCAGTATCCTAGAGGAAGATTTTAGATTTTAATGTCTCATAGAACAGACAGTGTATTTGATGAGCTCTGTGCTTGAGTTTACTATTGGGATGTCATTAGCTCTTAAGGTTTGGTTTTGTTTTGTTTTGTTTTGTTTTGAGATGGAGTCTTGCTGTGTTGCCCAGGCTGGAGTGCAGTGGTGTTATCTCAGCTGACTGCAACCTCTGCCTCCCGGGTTCAAATGATTCTCCTGCCTCAGTCTCTTAAGTAGCTGGGACTACAGGAGCCCCCCACTATGCCCAGCTAATTTTTGTATTTTTAGTAGAGATGGGGTTTTGCCATGTTGGCCAGGCTGGTCTTGAACTCCTGACCTCAGGTGATCTGTCAGCCTTGGCCTCCAAAAGTCCTGGGATTACAGGCATGAGCTACCATGGCTGGCCTAGCTCTTAAGTTCCAGCGAATTTTTTGAGTTAATTTTCAAAGTTAACACCAAATCTTCATAAATGTGTAAGCCTACATTTAAACATATCTCCCATGAGATTTTCTTTAAAAAGAGAAACATTTAAAAATACTTGTTGGAGGAAATGACTTGTCTATACTCTTGATTTATAATAAATGTATAATAAAGTATGTTCCATTTGTATGTGGCTCATTATTGCATTACCAATATAGAATCTCGTCACTTTAGGAGTCATTATTATAACACTGAGAAGCAATGTCAATATAGCAGAGCTTTGATTTTTTCAAGACCTATAATTTGTATGCATGCCCTTGATTGTTTATTTCTTTTTATTGTAGGAGCCTATGGAGTTGTACTTAAATGCAGACACAAGGCAAGTACATGATTTTTAAGAAGAAATATCTATATATGTTTAACTGTTTTGAAACTAATGCAGTACTCTGTGCATATGGGCATGTACAGGTTGAGCATTCCTTATCTGAAATGCTTGGGGCCAGAAATGTTTTTTATTTTTTCGGATTTTGGAATTTTTCCATATACATAGTGAGACATATTAGGGATGGGACTCAAAGCTAGGCAGGAAATTCATTTATGTTTCATGTATACTTAATACATACAGCCTAAAGGTAATTTTATGCAATATTTTAAATTTTTGCGTAAAACAAAGTTTATGTACTTATATGTGGAATTTCTACTTGTGGCATCATATCGGTACTCAAAGTTTTGGATTTTGGAACATTTTGGATTTTGGAATTAGGGATGATCAACCTGTAATTAAAACTCTGGTTATGATAATGTTCTTTAATGAAGTAGAATTAATATGGGAATGTGGCCAGAAAGAGACTACTTTTAGAGAAGCTTGATGATGGTTGGGTAGTTCTTAGTTCTTAGTAATCACATGCTATTTTTTTTTCAGCCGACCTATGCCATACACCTCATAATGACATTTAGGTCAACAGTGGACAGCATGTACGATAGTCCCATAAGATTATGATATGGTATTTTTTGTTTAGATAAAAAACATCTATATTCAGATACACAAATATTTACTGAATATGGTACTCAGTAAGGCTATACCATGTAGCCTAGGTAGTATTAGGCTGTACCATCTAGGTTTGTGTAAGTACACTCTATGATGTTTGTACAGTGATAAAATCACCTAATGACATATTTCTTAGAATGTATTCTTGTCATTAAGTGATGCATGACTGTATAAATGAAAAGCTGCCTAATGAGAAAAGAGAAAAGGTGGTGGGATGGGAAGAAGAAAGCAAGGCAGTGACAGATTTAATTTATGTTCAAGTACTTATGAGCAAAGAGAAGGTTTTTTTTTTTTAGTATTTTTCATAGAGACCCATTAACTTAGATTGCTTGATGCATTTGAATCCAGATTTGAAGGATAATAAGGTAGGTGTTTGGATATGAGCTAAGACTTGGGATAATAGTGTGTGATTATGATTATTGGCTATAGTTGATCATCCTTAAACAGCTGTGAAATGAACCTTACTAGAAATTATTTTAGTATGATAATCAGAAATTATTCAGAGAAGTTATTTGAAGTTTCCATAGCTGTTGTTCAATAGTAAGCACGTTTTACTTGGAGAGTAACTTTCAGATGGCAAGCACTGAAACTGTAACAAACACTAGCTTAAATATTTTTCTATTATGGCATACCTAATCTGAGTATTTGGCTTTATTTGCATATTATTTGTTAGGACCAAGGTTTTGTCTGTGATGATTTTAGCAATTTAACCCAAGACATTTAAACTCTTGAATCTGTCATCTATTGAAAATAATATATGTGTGTATGTATGTAAATATGCACACACGTAAATAAAGATGATACTCTTATATTTACTTTTTCTTTCCTATTGTACAAAATACTACCTGCCTTTTGGATTTCAGCCTTCATGACGGTTAATATATTTTTGTGTTTTAAATCACAGATCTCTCACTTTCGGGCAGTGGCTTTTGTATTCTTGAAATTGGGTAGTTGAACTATTTTATGTTAATAATAGTTACCTGAAGACTTCTTTGCCATTAAATTTTCAAAAATGGTTTGAATACTATTGGTTCTTGATTAAAGATGATTAAGAATTTAAAATAATAAATGTATTAAAAATAAATTTAGCACCTTGAACACCTTGTTAAGAAATACTACTGTGGTTTGAAATTAAACAAATGAAAATCTCCCTAATAAAATGCTAAATGCTATATACTTTTAATGAGTTGCCTTTAGTTATAAGTTTCTGAAGCTTAAAAAGAAATTCCTGGGTGGATATTACTTGGGGGAAATAGGTTATTAGTTTCCAAGTTAAATTTGACTCTTTCTTGAACATAAAACCTTTCCTTTTATATAGTGGCTCTGTTTAGATAACATTGCAAATGGAAGCTTCAGTTCTTCTAATCTTGGGTTTTAAAACTCAGAGATTTCTGAGATATATACATATCTTACATATGTACATATACACATGCATAAATATGTATTACATATACATATATCTGGTATATATTATACATCATGTACAGAGTTCAAATGTTTTCTCGTAGTCATTGTCATACTTCAACCTGTAACCTTTTTCTCTATACTTTCATGTGACTTTAAGCTCTCCTTCTGCCTTTTATGTAAAAATTAAGTTATTATTCAAATATATTGTTTTTATCTTTCTATTTACTGATTTGTTAAAATGGTTGTTTTTGTGTACCTGGTTCTCAAAACACACACTGTTAGTGCCAGCAGAATGGGCCCAGTGTGAAAGTGGATGAGAATGGACATCTCTGCTCTTAGGAAACCAACTCTAAATGTGAACTCTGATTTTTAGTTACTCTGTGTAGGGCACTTGGAGTTACAAGGATAAATAAAACATACTTTTCTTGCCTTCATGTGGCTTTATGGTCTGTCTGAAGAGACAGAAGAATAGATATTTAAAAAAAAAAAAAAAAAAAAAAACCAAGCCTGTGAGGTTGCTGCAAATGAGATACATCTAAAACATTTCTCTCTTTGCTGTCCTTCACTACATGAGGTCACATACCAGCTCCTTAAGTGTTGTTGCTTTCTCCTTGCATGTGTCTAAAAAGATATCACTGGATGGAAAATTTAAAGCATAAATTAGTGCCTATCTCAGAGTATTATAAAACTCTTTTTTAGAATCTGCAGCTGTTTAGTCATTAGGCTTGTTATAGATAGTATATCCTTTTCTCAGCTAAAATCAGACCTTGAAATCTGTACCCCATTATCCAAAAATAGAGAATTTGATGCTTCTGGTAAGATTGACGCTTTAGGGTCAAACAAATGGATTATTATGGAACTCATGTTATAATTAAAAATGTATATATGTATATAATCTTCCTGATTGTACTCATACGTAATTAGGCCAATATATTTTGCATACCTTTAAAAATTTAGTGAAGTGTTTATAAAACTGTATAAGTCAGGTTTGTGTGATTGCTTATGTATATAAATTAGTTATCCTTTTGAAAAGGTTGGCTGTGGGCGTATATATAATTAAATAATTCTTATGTTGTTTATTTGAGCAAGTATGGAAGAAAGTCACTGTTTTAATCTGTGTACTGTTGCAGTAATTTAGAGGTCATGCTGATAAATAGGTGTATTTTGTCTTTTGTGCACAGACTTTGACACTGGGCTAATCCAGACCAAAGACCATACTTCTTAATTTACTGAAATAAATGCTGCTCAATTTAAAAGGAGAAATCTAGCTTGCACTGTTTTTTTTTTTTGACAGCTAAACAAAATTAAGCTGTATATATTTATTGCATATAGAACAATAAGTTGTTATATATACACATTGACATGCATATGACAACTCTTAGCAGTGACTAAGCTTCTTTTTAGGACTCCTTAGGACTACTCACATTTGAAACATGTTCTAGGCTGGGCACAGTGGCTCATGCCTGTAATCTCAGCACCTTGGGAGGCTGAGGTGGGCATATCACCTGAGGTCAGGAGTTCAAGACCAGTCTGGCCAACGTGGTGAAACCCCGTCTCTACTAAAAATACAAAAATTAGCCAGGAGTTGTGGCACATGCCTTTAGTCCCACCTACTCAGGAGGCTAAGACAGGAGAATCGCTTGAACCCAGGAGGTGGAGGTTGCAATGAGCCAGATCGCACCACTGCACTCCAGCCTGGGTGACAAGAGTGAAACTCCATCTCAAAAGAATTAAAAA